GACTCGGGAACTCAACTCCTACCCCGGGCAGCTCACCTATCCCCTTATGCCCAGGGGAAAGGTATCAAGCCGTTTGACAGCTGATGCTAGCTGTCAAACCGGCTTTTACGCGAAACAGGCGGGAGGCAGCAAACAGCTGCGACCGACGAAGACGCCTGCCACCGGAAGTCTTAATGACCTTTTTGATGTTTGATTTTTAATGTCACTTTTAAAAATTTCACCCCCACCTTTTCATATTTGTTGTAATTTTGTATATTACCTTTTTTGTTTTCTGAAATTTAATAAAATTCTTTTTTTAAAAAAAGGAATATGAACAAAAGCAGGAAAGCCAATCCAAGTAAAGTAATTCATCCAGTATTCATAAGATAGTGTCTAAGAAATATAATATATTTACTTAAACAAAGAGATTATTCTCTCCACCCCATCCCATAATTATGTTTTAAAATTTTGCAGAATTGTTGTAGGGGCTTTATAAAGAGAAGAGACATTGAAAAGAAAAAGAAATTGGGTTTGGAATGGCAAAAGCAATGGTGACATTTTTTTCATCTCTTTTTTTTTTCTCAAGGCAGGTATTCCATTCCTACGATCCTACTCTTTTCTCCCCCCCAAAGATATTCTTTTCCCCATTGCAATGCCTTGTATTTTGCTATTTCTGATGGAAGATTAAAGTAGAATGTGGCAAGGAGGTTCACATGCATGTGAAAAAGAAACAGTGCTGTAGATAAATGGCTGATGAATGAATTTTATCGGTGCAGTTTATTTTACAAGCATGTTCACTTTAATTAGTGATTATTACTTCAGTTAATTCACAAACTCACATTTCTAAGTGAGGGATTTGGTGGGTTGGTTTCTACTGGAGTCAGCAATTCCTAATTGATAAAGTGGGCAAATGCCAATGTATTGCAATGGATTTCTGTTTGTATTCATCTTCTCTTTTGGGGGGTAGGTGGGAAGTTGTCTTCCTTTGCGATAAATATAATAAAAAAAATGCCTGAAGAAATTCAGGACTGAGAGCATGCAGGCACTGCTACAAAGAAATAAGCTACAAGGAATCAAATGATGAAACTTGGTAGTCTTCAGCTTACAACCACATTTGGGGCCACGGTTTCTGTTGTTAAATAAAGCAATTGTTATTGCCTGTCATTGCCTGCAATACTGCACTTAATCACTACACCACCAGATATATCTGGTGCTAAAAAAATGTGGCATTTGCATTGTGATTTCATGGCACATGCTGTGATTGGCAACCTTTAATCCAATGTTAGGCTCAAGTGTAAATCACAGAGTTTGCATTGTGACACCACAAGCCACATTTTATCATCTACAGCATGGGTGTTAAACTCGCTGTGTCACGTGACGTGTTGCCACGTATCGTGGCTTTTTTTGCATTGCCGGAGCTGGGGTGGGCGCGGCCTCCGTATGATGCAACCGGCCCGTGGGCCGACAGTTTGACACCTCTGATCTATACAAATACCTAAGAAAGTCTATGGTAATCACGAAGATATGGCAATCTATCAGTCGATTCACATTCTATGTATTGTAAGCAAAACTTTTAATCTGACTTTGCTGATGAGAAACTAGTGTAATTGTTTCACCATTATGTTATGTGCAGTATCCAGATGCTACGGTATGTTTTGCAGTAGTTTCCTCTTTCAAATTAATGAGCATTGACCCAGGTTATATTAACTCCAAGGTCAACTTCAGACCAACAATAAAGTAAGCAATACTCCAATCAAGAAACTGCCAAAGAGCCATTAGTAAACAGCCCCCATCCACCCAGACAGGCAAGACACCAGAATATAAACTGGCAGCAAACAGCACTCCTTACTGGCATTGATGATGTTACCTAGTTAGGGTAATGAAACATCTGCAAGAAAACAAGCAAGCTTAGAGAGCAACAAGGACCCCACATTTCAACCCCGAGCTACAAATATTCTCCTTCATTGACCCAGATTATTTATAAATACCTAATTATAGGCTGATAAGAGAACATTTTGTTGACACACATTTGGGAAATCTGATCCCATGATTCCAGAAGCAGCCCAGAAAGCAGCTAATAATGGCAGTAATCTTGGCTGTGTAATTAAATTGTTCCAAAGAGAAAGAAGACATCCAAGTTAACAAAACATATTTTTCATATATCAATAATTGGAAAAGCAACAAGAAAAGGTTATTCTTTAATTGCACATTTTCAGTTCTCATTAGAGCACAGTTTCAGCAGCACGTTGTTTTCACAAGAAACCACAGCCTGGACGTTATTGCAAGCTGCTAATTCAGAATGCAAGTTTGAATCTGCCTTTGGTAATATGCGCATTTGGGTGACCCCTAGAAGGGATGCAGTGGCCTAGAGGGGAGATGGTGGCCTAGTAGTTAAGATGCTGGGCTTATTGACCAGGTGGTTAGCAGTTTGAGACCCAAGTACCCGTGACGGGGTGAGCTGCTCTTGCCCCAGTTCTTGCCCACCTAGTACTTAGAAAGCATTCAAATGCAAATAGATTAATAGGTACCACTTCGATGGGAAGTTAACAGCAATCCGTGTGTCTGGGCATATAGTCATGTTGGCCACATGATCATGGAAGTGTCTTTGGGCAATACTGAATCCCTCGGCTAGAAAATGGAGATGAGCAAGACCACCTAGAGTCAGAAACGACTGGTCAGGGGAAACCTTTACCTTTTAAAATATGCACATTAGGTAATATCTTTTTTTATGAAAGAAATCGTAGTTTATTTTATTACGGTTTTTTTTTAAAATACAATAAAAATGTAGGACAAAAACCAGATTCTGAGACACTACAATTAAAAAACAACAACAGTAGTTCATTTTCTGCCGTATGAAATTAAGATCCTTCAACGTATGACCTTAATTTGTGACAGTGATTTATATTGCGAATGATTGCAGGATGCATGGCTAGCAAAAATGGCTTGTATACTAAATAGATACTTATGAACATTTAAGGATATAAAAGGGTTTTACATCCTACTAATCATACATTTAGTTTCTTTGGTTTAAACTTGGTGGAATGTAAAAAAGCTAGCTATAATGTTTTGTGAGTTATGGTTTATGGCAGAAGTGGGCAGGAATATTATTACTCCTCCCCCCCCGTTAAATTAGGGATTTATACTACAATTTAGATGTTACTTCAGTTTTCAAAATGGTTGAAAATAGTGGTGTTGCTTCTTAAAACCATCCTGT